CTGGTATAAAGAATAAAGGTGATGATGATTCACATTGAAAAAATCCATGTTTAATTTTGGTTTCTTTTAACTCTTCCCAGTTAGCCATCAGCTTTCTCTGCCAAAATGTCATTGAAATATTCATAAATTGCCAAATGTTTCTGCTAATTCCAACAATTCTGAATCATTTCCCAATGTGGAACAGAATCGAATTGATTTTTTATTGCCCATCCAAGCCATAAACAAATTTGTTATCCTTTTTTTTATTTATTCAAAAATCGACTTGCCAATCAATAACTGGTCCCTCCATTCCCCTCCAATCTTTGTAGCACTCTTTTTGTTCTACTATTATTTGCCAATACTGTTCCTAAGCATTGACTTGCAAGCTTTATACATTTCTTTAGTATTAATGAAACGTAAGATAAACAGTAATAATAGACATCCTAAATGAATGCAGTGCAAATGACACTTATTTGTTTCACTGTATTATACTTCAGTATTTATTATGATAACTTCAGTCTCTCTTTAAAGCAATAATAACTATGAAGCATATCCCAGTTAGCAATCACCATACACTTTAAAAAAAAAAAAAACCAAGGAGAATTTCATTCAACAGTATCATTTGGTAACCCTGTCAACAATTTTTTGCCTTTATGCAAATCTGGGCTGAGGGGGCTTTAATTGACAAGAATCTTGTCAAGAGGATTTTAAAGCCGAACGGCAGCTGCTGTATGGGACCTCACAGAGGTGGCCATATGCACAAGTGCTTTCTCTTGTTAAGGTCATGAAAAGACTTGGATTACAGAAGAAACCAAAGCAGAGTTTGCAACAGAAGCAGTTCTTCCCATCCCAGCCCCAGGGTCTATCCCACATAACATTTACAATTCTTTTCGTCTAACAGTTCAGAACTGAAGTCTTGGCTGTATTACGATTAAAGTGACTGACACGTTGCTTTCAAACACAACCCAGAATGCTTCCTTAAGTTGTGTGTGGTAGATTGAGCTGTACTCTTAGGAGCTTGATTCAGAAATGTAATCTATGCCTTGTGATGCAAATGATTTGGTGGTTCATTACGTTTGTATTAAGAGAGTTCTTATATGTTGGCTGGAGAAACATTTCCACAGCTAAGCTTTGTGGAATCATAAGTTCACTCACCCGGCTGGCAACTAGAGTATTTGCGTGCTTGTTTGAAAACACTAAATCCTTGGCGGGGGTGAGTGGGGTGGCAATGGGCAGCCCATGATAATCTGTATCTATCCAAATATGGAGTTAGTAAACAGGAACCTGGCAGAGTGTGACTGTTAACAAGGCCGTAGCTCCTGATGCCATGAATCCTGAATGTGCTTGATTTCTTGTGGAGACAGAGAAGCTCTCCCCAAATTTAAATCATGGAACAGCATAAGACAATACATCTTTTGAAGAGCTTTATGTTCAAAATGTGCATTAACGATATTGTGAAATTGCCAAGTAAGCTTACTTAATAATATGATTTAGCTTCAGATCAGTGGAATAAGAAACTGAGAGACATATAGGATACAAAGACATTTCAAAGAAAAATCCCCACTTTCCTTTCCATGCTAAAGCAGCAGGTGCTTAAGTTTTGACTGGAAGCCCACAAAGAAAGTCCAAATTAAGCCTCATTATTGGAGCCGTTTCTCTCTTCCGTTGGCACCAGCTAATAGGAGTGAAACAAAAATATCAAGAGGAGAATAGGTTGAAGAACCCCCTGACAGAAGAAGTTCTCTTAAGCAAACATTCAAGTGACTTGCTAGAGTTGGCGGAAAAGATCCTTTTGATAGAAAATGCTAGATGGCATTTGCAGGAAAGGAGATTTGGAGAGAGTTAGAACTGAAGCTTCTTAGATGAGACGCAAAACATTTTCAAAGGAAAAAAAACTAAGAAAGTCCAGTTGCCTTTTGGAAAAAGCACCTTTGGGACACAATCATGACTGGCTGGCAAATGTTGGGATAATGAAAGAAAGTGGGCATTACCACCATATTATGAGCTTGAAAACATTTAATTTTAAGAAAACAAATTATTTGGGGGATATTTGTGCATTTACAGTGAAATACTAGTCATTATTTATTCAGAAGGAAGTGCAACTAAGTTGAAAGGACCTTGCCTCCAAGCAAATGTGCATAGGATTATAGCCTTTAAACCATGACTTAGACTTCACAATAATTTAAAATATTTTTTGTTGATGCCATTGTTGTCTTGAATCAGATGAAGTTCAAAGCCCGTTAAATTGATAATTTATTGATTCAATAGTAAGCCATTAATTTACTTTACCATTGTATGTAAACGTAGCCATTGTCACATTATACTTAAACTTGCCCCTACATTTTTTTAGCAGTTTTATTGTCTGTAGTGAGGCAGAAAATCAGTTTATTTCCTTTCTGAAGTTGAAAAGTAATTTTAATTTTGAATGGTTTTTTTTAGTAATTTTGATGTTTTAATACATATACACACTATATCTACCTACCTTTGTCTATCTACGTATAAAATCCCTCTTGGAACTACAGACATACATCTTGTCTGTTTAAGAAGCACTCAGTCATCATTGTGTTTTTATACAAATAGTGCTTTTTTGCTTGATAATCCTTGCATATAATGATGTACTGTATGTATGATTGTGTAATCTCTCAAGTCAATTTTTGACTTCCGCGGAGATAAATGTAAAGTAAGTTTAGTCCTTTTATAGGTAATCATAAGGAAGCAGAAGAAAAAGTGTCTTCTGAGTGTGATAGCATGTGCAGAGAATAAATCTAGCTGACCCTGAATTTCTGTCAAAATTTTGAATTCAGAGAAATAAGAAATTTAAATATCTTTTGAACTTTTTTTGAAGGAAGCAAGTGAGGAGTGAGTTTCCTCATCAGTCTCTCCATACTGTATTGTCCATTCTTTACCCTGTAACCTGCTAGATTTTATCACTGGGATAATATCAGAAAATAAATCTTATGTTTTTTGCTTGCTGCAATCAGGCTTTATTAATTCCAGTTCACCTATTTATGACTTTTTTTTCCTGATTTCAATGGTTTACCTTCCCAAAGAGATATACTGCCTCTTTCAATATTTTTACTTCATTTTTTTTTCACATGTTAGTTTGTCAAAGTGACTTTATTCTATTTCTATTATGTTCACATAATAAGGGAAGGCAGTTTGTGGGAGTGTCTGATTCTTTATCTGATATTTGGTTCAAAGCTCACCAAGGGGAAGAGTATGATTTTTTCAGATCTAAGGAGCTAAAGAACTATATTATAGGTTTTATTCAGACAGAAAGAATGAGCTTTCTTAAATATCTGAATTCAGACTGAAAGTAAATGCTAGAATTTCATAGCTGATGGTCTTTGTACGTCCTAATCCTAGTAAGGATATCTACTGTGGAAAATGTTTATAGATAGCCTTGACTTAACACATATTTAGTGACTGCTCAAAGTTACAAAGTTGCACTGAAAAAAGTGACTTATGACTATTTTTTCACAGTTATAACGGTTTCAGCATCCCTCAGAATCACATGATCAAAATTCATATGTTTGGCAACTGGTTCATATTTATGACGGTTGTGGTGTCCAGAGATCATGTGAACAGCTTTTGTGACCTTCCGACAAGCAAGGTCAAGGGGGAAGCCAGATTCACTTAACAACAAAAGGTCATAAAATGGGGCAAAGCTCACTTATATAAATGCTTTATTTAACAACTTAAATTTTGGGCTCAGTTGTGGAGGACAACCTGTATAACGGCAATGGGGAAAAAATTCTAGAAACAGGAAACGTTACATAAAATGATTTTATTTTCAGTAATATTCTGACTTCATTTTTTTAAATTATCACTTTTCCTTTGCCTTCTTTCAAACATAGATATTCAGTCTGTGCAAGTTTTTTGGCAGTACTAGAAATATAAGTTATCTTTTTGCGTAGTTTTTTTTTTCAACATTCCCAGATTGGTCCAGATTTCTGGAATGCCCAGGTGTTTTGCCACACGTCCACACCATAGCTGAACCTGTTTAACTTCTGAGATCTGTCAGCTGGAGGGGTGCCACCAACTGTGGAGGCAAAAAAGGAAATAAAATTCATTGCAGAACAGAATCTTCTAGATCAGCAGCCCCCAACCTTTTGGGCACCAGGGACTGGTTCTGCGGAGAGAGTTTTTCCGCGGACCAGTGTGGTTTTGTGTGCTGCATGCATCTTGCAGATGGGGCTTTGCTTGTTTGTGCAGCCTGGTTGCTGGCATGCTGCGTCCCAGTGCTGGTCCATGGCCCGGGGGTGGGGATCCTGTTCTAGATCTCTTTCATTTTGGAAATCCTTTTGAATAAATGTGCTTGCATATCCCATTTAGATGAAGAGCAAAATTTTAAAAGTACCTAAATATATTTACAAAAAGGCATTTCTTGACACAGAACAATGACAGGTGTTGTGATACTACAGTTAGAGGACTGGGTAAAAATCGGGGAGACCAAATAGTGGCAGTTACTATCTCTCTACCTAACCTTTTCACAGTTGTTCCAAAGGTTGGACAGAGGGATGATAGAATGATTGCATGAAATCATCCTCATGCTTTTTTCCTGGGGGGGGGGGGGAAGGAAAATAATAGGAAAAATAAGTAATGATGATTTTACTTTAGTTTCTCAGAATCAGTTTTTCAATATCTGTATCATCCAGATGCACTGAGACTATTCCTCCCAGAATTTTTCAGCTGACACAGGCATCAGTTTTGGAAGTTATAATCCTGGTTCTTTAGATTGTGGAAGACTGCCCTAATCTGAGATTTTGGGGCTTTTCTTCTCAATTTGAGGAGAAAGAAACTTGATGTTCCATAGCTGCAGAGATTTAGAATGCCAGCTTATGCAAGATTGAAGTGACAATTTGTATAACAGGGCTTTATTTAGGAAATCTCACATTAATTGTACATGGCAGGGGAAAGTATAACAGGTTTGCTAATATAATCCTATTTTGGTTTTGACAGACTTTAGTATTTCGTTTTTTTAAGTCTATGGTAACTAAGAATATTTTTCCTATTCACAGAGCAAGCTTTACATGGAAGGATTTAGAAGCCTAAAAGAAGGAGAACCAGTGGAATTTACTTTTAAGAAATCTTCCAAAGGCCTTGAATCAATACGGGTAACAGGTCCAGGTGGGAGTCCCTGTTTAGGAAGTGAGAGACGACCCAAAGGAAAAACAGTACAGAAAAGAAAGCCAAAGGGAGATAGGTAATGGAGTTACTAACTTTTTCTATATATGCACCTTTTCTGAACAGTTTTTATTTGTATTTCTTAATTATTTGTGAATAAACGTGTATCACGTGTGTCAGACCCAATCATTAGCATTGTCAATCTAGATATGTGATTTGCTTGATTTCAGAGATGAGGACTGGGAAGTCTCTGGAACTTGCATACTTCCGAGTTTTTGATTCATCTCAGTGATGCAAGTTGTACTTGCTTTAGGGGTGAGCAAAATGAGTTTTTCGGATGTTTAAAAGCACACTCTCCATGATTACTATTTGCCTGGTGTCAGAGTTAAGTCCTTACACAGTGCAAATGCTATTTGAATATGTGTTTATAAAATTTGGATGCTGCCCTTCAAAATCAAGTTTTCCCATGGGGGCTATGTGCATGTATATAATATGTAACTTACAGCTTCTTTAGACGTTTGCAGAAAATAGGTTGTACACTCAGAAAAGAAGAGATCAGAATATTGTCCCCATCCCTGTTCTCAGGACTCTCAACATGAGAAGTCATGTCTGTTGCATGGAGCTTCTTCTGGCTTTGGAGACTTTTCTCAAGATTTGATATCCTTATTTTCTAGAATTCTAGAGTCTCCATACTTACAGAGTCTTTTAATGTTACGCAACAGGGTAATAACAAATCTTGTTAGTGAAAGTAAAGAAGATTTCTGCTTCCCTGGGCTTGCATGAATGAACAAGGCTTATAGAGAAGGCTAAAATTAGAAGATATTGAAGACAGGCTGAACTGCAAATGTAGAAACACAATGGTATGATAAACATTTTTTTAAAATAAAAGCAATGATACTAGACTTATTTGCTTGAGATGTCATGCAGATATTTGCTAAACCCTTTTATGATTTTCTTCACCCATTTCCTTTACAACACAGTAACAATATGGTCTCATGCAATAAGTAACTGCTCCTATATTCTAAGACCAAAAAAACATTTTGGTTTAAGGAAAGAATACTTTCCAAACTTTCTGTCATGGAAAAAACACGGCTGAAGTTAAATTTTTAAACCCTTTTAAATTTTTTATTTATTTTTCACTGTTATGAACTGCCCATCTCTCTCAAAGAGGGACACTTAAATACTTAGTTCCAGTCATTACAGTTTTGCACATTTGTTCTTGAGCTGCAGAGCATAATGCTGTGTTTAACCAAAAATTATACAGCTACAGTATTCAGAATTCAGGGGCCTCCTGAGTCAGTGTGTGATCAGACGTGTCTTGTCTCCACTGAATAAAAGAAAATCTGTTTTGAATTACTATGTTTTACCCAGTAAGCTGAACTTGGGCCAATCCAGCAAACACCTCTAATGCATATTCAAAAATGCAAACGTTTCTTTCTTTTTTCTTAAAGCCAATTAATTCAATGGTTGAATGGTTGGATTAGGATAGAAGAGACCCACTTTTAGGTCAACCATCAGCCATGGAACCTTATTGGGTAACTTTCAACCAGTGAATCTTTCCAGCCTGTCCTACTCTGAAGAGGTGGGATATAAATTTAACAAGCAAAATAAATACATTTGCTACTGAGCATATTTGCTTCTCATTTGTGTGTGTGTGTGTGCATCTATCTTTCTATCCTGATGGTCCAGCATAATTTGCATACTGTATGCAGTACTTCCTGGCACCACTGAAAATGTATACCACAAAACAGAATTAATGGCCAATGAAATAGAACTTGAGCTTTATGAGAAGGAATTGTGAATATCAGATTTCTGCCTGGATGGTGTATGTGAAATTTTAGGAAACTATTATTAGTAGAGGTGCTTAATGTATATGAATTCATCAATGGCATTTATATACTACTAAAATGTTCATTGCCATAACATTTAATTCAGCAAAATAGTGCATCATATAGCAACAATTTTTGAACCAAAGTACATTGTGGGTTAATTTATAGAATGTGTTCAAAATCTGGGACCCTTGACTCCCCAGGAAATGAAATTTGGGGATGTTGTGGCTGCTTAGGTGCTATTGGGTTGCTGCTGTCACATAATCTTCATTTTTAACATTCTGTGACAGTTTACCAGCCAGTCTCACAATCCTCACTTCCTTCCTCCATCCAGCAGCAGCCACTTACAGCCCTGGAAGGGAGATTTCCAGTGGTCCCTGCCAGATTCCCATAAGGAAACTTAGTGGGGAAGCTGGTAGGAAATCAACTTCCCCTTCTTTTTTGCCTGCCATTGGTCATTTTATTTCTCTGTTTAGGTAAAGAAATATCTCTGAAATAATGACCCTGTCAGGGCATCGGTTGTCTAGTTCCGTATTATTGCTACAGTCACAACAGGGAAGTTTTCTTACAATCACCAGGAAACTAATTTGACATGAGAAAAAACTTTTCCTGGGTAAACTGATTGGGAACACTCTATCCATTGAAATTGTGACTGTATACATTCTTGCCAGTGTGAGGCACAAAAACCCAGGCAAACTGAGGGCATGTAGAGCTTAACCCAGTGATGGCGAACCTTTTAGAGACCGAGTGCCCAAATTGCAACCCAAAACACTCTTATTTATCACTGGGTGCCAGGTGGGTGTGGCCCTCTGGGTGGGTGTGGCCCTCTGGGTTGACGTGGCTGTGGTGGTCATGGCAGATTGGGTGCGCGTGGCCATGTTGGGTGTGATCACCTCGATGTTGCTCGTGGGAGGGACACCTGTGGGGGCCGGGCAGGGTTGGGGGAGATCCAGGGGGTCTCTGGCAGGTGGGGTGGCGGGCAGGAGGCTTACCCTGCTGGGTGAGGCAAGGCAAGGCAGGGTGGGGGTGCCATTGTCACAGGGCAAGGTGAGGCTGGGGCGGCTGCTGCCTGACACCATCAGCCCCTGCACACAGAGGCCAGTGAGCACATTGGTGCTGGGATGCATCCTGCCATGTGGGACCTCAGCAAGTTAGTGGGCGGCTAGTTGAAAAGGGATGGTTGCTATCTCCAGGGCATGGCGTGCGTGCCCACGCGTGCCATAGGTTCGCCACCACTGGCTTAACCTGTAAAGCCATTATAATATAAGACACAGAACAAAACCTTTTCAGAATATAGGCTTGAATTTAAAATAGCTGTCTTAAATTGCAGCTTCAATCAAGGACCTTAAACTCAAGGAATTATATAAATTATAAAACTGGGTTTTGTGTGTAAGAATGGGGTGGGGAGAGTGTTTTTAAACTTTGTGAAGGAATATAGAGTAGAAAATCATGAATAAAACTGGATGTGGATGACAGTTTCAGACACATGGTCTCTAAAGTTTTATTTATATATTCATGGTTTCTGGAATTATGTTTGATGATCTGTTTCTTGCCCCACCCCCTTTAAAAAAAATTCTTTCATCTTCTTCTGTATTTGGTTTGCATGTGACTTTATGTAAAAGGATTTTTCAAACTGGAAAAGATTTTGGGAAGGATAAAATAATAGATAGATAGATAGATAGATAGATAGATAGATAGATAGATAGATAGATAGATAGATGATGAGATTTTATTATAAGCTTCTACTTTTGTTAAGCTTGACTGCTTATTGTAGAGAGAAAAATGTTAGAAAAAGAGGGCTGAGGAGAAGAAGAATCTTTTTTTTCCATTCAGCATTATTCCTACCTTACATCTGGAGCCTCTTTTCACAATCTGTTTCTGTTGGTCATTAAAGTGCTTTGCAGAGGACCAATGCATAATTTCTGATTTATTGGTGGGAGTTATGCATTTTCTCTTACATGGCCCCTAAAAAGAAAAGGCTACTTTGTCAGTTCAAAATATGGAATATTAGTAAATTGAGCCTATCAGTTTATTCCCATTTAGCACCTTCTGCTGTTAGGAGCAACTACACACGCCATGTTGTATTGTTGGGGTTTTTTTTGTTTGTTTTTTACTTGCAAACTTGTAATCCTACTTTATTTTCTCCGTACATGCTAGAATAAAAATCTCTAGTTTATAACTTTGACTTTTTATAGATTGAGGTTCTGGTATGCACATAGCTTTGAGTGAGCCATCTGTTAAGCAGTTATTATGCATCATTATATACATACTAATTATATATATTAGTGCATGTACTTATTGATTGTATTCCTGACAAATGAGGCACTTAATTTTAATTTTAATAGTTCCAAAAGGTGATTTTGACGCTTAGAATAGCCACTCAAATGAGGGATGATTTATGGTTTATAGGTAATAGTTATAGATTGCATTAATACAAAAACATGCACCTTGATATGTCTAGTTATTACACTTACATTTACATTTAATTTAATTATGCAAATGTAATACAATATTAATAATAAAATTGACAGTGATAAAATCATTGCCAACAATTCCTCTTTGAGGGAAATGGGCAGTTTAAAAATTAGATGATAGGTAGGTAGGTAGATAGATAGATAGATAGGTAGATAGGTAGATAGATAGAGGTAATAATTATGATAGATAATAATAATGATGATGATGGATAATAATGAGAAAGGGAGAGAGAGAGATGGAAGATGCAAAAGGGGGAAAAAGGAAAGAAAGGAAATCAGCAATATCATATTGATTTACAATTTCAGAAATATTGTCTCTGAGAAAAAGACAATATGAAATAAGCACATTCAAGAACAGATAAAATGGGGCAGATTTCCTATACATCCCCCCACTACAGCCTTCTGAGAATAAAATACTGATTATGACCATCTTCCTTTAATAATAATTTAATCAGTGGTTTAAACAATGCCTTATCTTTGGTCTCCATTAATTTGTACATTTAAATTTGTTTTGGTTCTCAGTGAATGCACCCTTTTTCAAATACTATATTTATGAAAAAGTTATTTAAACTGGTTTTTTTGAGGGGAACCACTTATGTAGCTTAGAATTGACTAGATTTGGCTTTAGCTTTGGTCATTTTAAAGTCAGTTAATTTCCTTCAGTTCAGAGAGTTTGGAAAATTATAACCTATGCTTTCATTTCCTTGCTGTCAATTAATGCCCAAGCTTCTTTGCCTTCTAGAGTGATGAATGGTTGCTTAATTGATATGAGAGGG